CGTCAGACATACCCACAAAACCTAAAACCGAGATTGTACAACCAGTGCGTGTTGCCAATGATGATTTATGGATCTTAGACGTGGTCCTTCACTGTTAGCCATATGAGGACGCTCAAGGTCGCTCAGAGAGCTATGGAGACTATGCTCGGGGTTTCTTTGCGTGATAAACATAGAAATGAGAATATCCGAATTAGAACATATAATAAGTAAGCTAAAATGGCAATGGGCCGGCCATATAGCTTGAAGAACCAAAATCCGGTGTGGAAAAAAGGTTCTCGTACCGGTAGGCAAAGTGTAGGGTGACAGACTCCTCACTAGATGGAGTGGCGACGAGTGTCGATGGATGCAGGTGGCTCAGGGCAGCTCAGGACCGTGCTTTGTGGCAGTCCTTGGAGGAAGCCTATGTTCAGCAGTGAACTTGTGAAGGGCTGCAATGATGATGATGATGATGTGAAATGTATCATCATCATCATCATCATTACATTTTACACATCATCATCATCCTGCATGCATCCATCGACTTCCTGCATGTCTTACCAGGTCGTCACTCCATCTCGTGGGGGGACGCCCTACACTTCGCCTACTGGTACGAGGCTGCCATTCGAGAACCTTTCTTCCTCATCGGTTGTCGGTTTTTCGAGCTAAATGGCCGGGCTACTGCCACTTCAGCTTACTAATCCGTTGGGCTATGTCGGTTATTCTGGTTCTACTGCGGATATCCTTATTCCTAAGTTTATCACGCAGAGAAACTCCGAGCATAGCCCTCTCCATAGCTCGCTGAGCGACCTTGAGCTTCCTCATACGGCCAGCAGTGAAGGACCACGTCTCAGTTCCGTAAGTCATCACTGGCAACACGCACTGGTTGTACAATTTCGTTTTAAGGTTTTGAGGTATGTCTGACGAGAAGATGTGTCGTAGCTTCCCGAACGCTGCCCAGCCGAGTTGAATCCGTCGATTGACCTCTCGGTCGAAGTTGGACTTACCTAGTCGGACTATTTGTCCCAGGTAAACATACTCGTCAACAACTTCGAGCTTAGTGCTCCCAACAACTACCGGCATAGGTGTGACATGGACATTAAACATGATCTTTGTTTTTTCCATGTTCATCTTAAGACCTACCCGTTGGGAAACACTATTGAGGTCATTGAACATAGTGCTTAGGCCCTCCAGCGATTCTGCCATAAGGACTATATCGTCGGCAAATCGAAGGTGAGTGATGTACTCGCCATTGATGTTGATACCGTATCCTTTCCAGTCCAGAAGCTCGAAAATGTCTTCCAATGCAGCGGTGAAGCGTTTCGGGAATATAACGTAACCCTGTCTTACATCTCTCTCAATTGGATAGGTTTCGTACTCTGGTTCTGTACTCGGATAGCCATCGTAGCCCTACTGTACAAGCACTTCAACACTTCGATATACCGACAGTCAACTTGGCACCGCTGAAGGGACTGCAGCACCGCCCAAATTTCGACGGAATCAAAGGCTTTCTCATAGTCCACATACGCCAGACATAGTGGCAAATTGTACTCTTCGGACTTCTGTACAACTTGCCGAAGGGTATGTATGTGGTCTATGGTGCTAAAGCCCTTTCGGAAACCGGCTTGTTCGGGAGGCTGGAAGTCGTCAAGTCTGAGCGCGAGACGATTCGTAATGACTCTCGAAAACAGCACATAGACGCGGCTCAGAAGGGAAATCGGTCTGTAGTTCTTCAAGAGAGCGTTGTCACCTTTCTTGAAGAACAAGATCACCGCACTTCTGCTCCACGCCTCCGGTGTAATGCCACCATGGAGGACGGAATTAAAGAGCTTATGAAGGACTTCAAGTACCGGTCTTCCACCCGCTTTCAGAAGCTCCGCTGTAATTCCATCCTCGCCTGGGGCCTTACCGTTTTTAAGGTGCTGGAGAGCCATTCTAATCTCGCTCAGACTGACGTCCGGGATATCTTCGGAATAGTGTCGGATGAGACTCGCTCTTGGATCGTTACTCACACTTGCGTTTGGCTCCAACGCTGACGTGTACAGCTCCCCATAGAACCTCTCAATCTCACTCAAAATCTCAGGTGTCCCGGAAACGATGCTGCCACATTCCGTCTTCAGCTTTGACAGTTGGCTCTTTCTGGCAGACAGATCTCTGAGCCTTGGTTCCGCTCGATCGCTTATTCAATACGAGCTGTATTGAAGTTGCGTAAGTCCCGCCGCATGCATTTGGAGATCTGTCTGTTCAAATGCATGTATGCTGTCAAGTCTGTTGAAGAATGTAGCTCCATAACCCGTCTAACAGCCATGAGATTAAGAGTGTGATCGGAGAGTTTTTGTGTTCTTCTGCGGCGGGTCTTGCAGAACTTAGCTCCGACCGCATGGACAGTTTCCACGAGCTTGTCATTCATATCGTCCACTTCATTGCAGTCTTCTAGGCACTGAAAACGGTTTTGTAACTCGAGCTGAAAGGTTTCGGGACTTTGGAACAGAGCATGAGGGGGACGGAGCGTTGACTTCATTAGACGAGACCTCTCCAACTTAACGTTTAGGTTCAGTGTGCCTCTAACCATTCGGTGATCGCTACCAGTTTTCACCCTCGCGATCACGGAGACATCACTGAACAGTTGTCGTCTGGTCGTCATAATAAAGTCAATCTCATTTTTTGTCGAACCGTCGGGGCTCGACCAGGTCCACTTCCTGTGGGGCCGCTTCTGGAAGAAAGAGTTCATCATAAAGAGTCCCTCTTTCTCCATGAAGTCGGCCAGCTGCTGGCCCCTTGGGTTCCGTTGCCCTATTCCAAATTTCCCTACTTTCAGCTCACTGTTCTCTCTTGTGCCTAGTTTTGCATTGAAGTCTCCCATTAACACCGTATATTGGGATTTGGAGGAATGCATGGCTCTTGAGATATGCTCATACATTTCCTCCACCTCCTCGTCGGGGTGTGCCGAGGTTGGTGCGTAAACCTGTATGACCTTCAGCGAATACCGTTTGGTGATTCTGAGTATAAGGTACGCAAACCTCGTCGACACACTCCCGATCTTTACAACGTTGTTAACGAGAGACTTGTGGACGATAAATCCGACACCTCCTTGGGACAGATGGTCGCCCTCTCGGTGATAGAGCAAGTTGCCGGATTCGAGGATTACCGTGTCCTCCCCCTCTCTTCGGACTTCGGATAATCCTATAATATGCCAGCGCAACTTGTCTATCTCTTCTTCCAGCTCCACGATCTTCTCGTCAGTCCTCAGGGTGCGTGCGTTGTACGTTGCCAGGGCGAGTCGTCTAAGGTGGCAACCGAACCTCCACCGGAGATTCTTAGCACCCCCTGCCCCGCCGCTACCATTGTCGCCACCGTAGCCAGGAATAGCGGGGCCGCCGGGGACTCGGGGCCGTCTGTTTGTTGCTTTAGTCATTGGGGGGTATTTGCCATAGTTGCCACGCTTGGCGAGAGGGTTGGCAACCGCAGTTTTTTTATTGTAATTTTGGCTATTATCAGGAAAATGCTGCTGCCCATCTCCTGCCTGTTTCCCTTTATCGCCTTTTACGACACCCACGGGAGGATATGGGGTAGTGGATATTCTTGACCGCCACTACACATTTTACACGTGTAAATTAGATTGTAACCCTTAATACATTTAGTATTTTTAGGGTTCCGTACCTCAAAGGAAAAAACGGAACCATTATAGGATTGTTCGTCCGTCTGTCTGTCTGTCAAGACTCTTTTTCTCAGGAACGCGTGGAGGTATCAAGCTGAATTTCATATCAAATACTCAAGTCTACTGTCCCTTGGAGCTGTGAAAAAAATCAAACTTCTAAACCAACGCAATCAAAAGAATCAGCCGTTTATGCCGTAAATTTTCGACATTCGCAACGGAATCAAAACCTACAGGGTACTTCCCGTGAAGTCAGAATCTTGAAATTTGGTACGAAGCAACGTTCTATAGCACAGATAAAGGAAAAATTGCGAAAAGCATAAAATTTTAGTTACATCATATAATAAAAATATTTTTAATAATTTTAAACTTATATACCTACTCGTACAGATTTGTTCCTACTTTGCCGGTTTTATTTTAAATAATCCCGAGTTTCTTGTAGCTATTTTTTAAGAGAATGTTTCCTTTTTGTGAACCGATATGATGTTAATAAAAGCTTATATTGGATTAAAAGTTTTTATTTTGACTTTGAAACGGTTTTCATATATGTATATCAGTAATACACATATATGTATATTTAGATAATTGATGTTGAATTATCAATACCTGTTCAGTAAATGGTGGACTATAATGAATCTAATGTCCGGATGTAACTTTGAATATTTCAACGTTACATCCGGACATTATTCATTGTTAATTTTCAAGTTGTTTTAAATTCCCGAAATGCTTTGCAGGTGTTGCAAAGCGATGTAAATCGCTTTATAATAAGTCAAATAGTGACTAATCATAACGGAAACGCCCAGGTTTCTTAATTTTATGACAAATAGAATTCGCTTTATTACACAATTGAAGTGACTAACAAACTTACACTCCACTTGATGGTAAGTGGGTACAGCAACACACAGATCTGGAACCAACTTCAAATAAGGATGAGGACTAAGATGGAGACTGCCTCGTTGATCTAGTGGTTGCAAACGCGGTTACTAATCAAGAGGTCCTGGGTTCTAATCCCGGATTGGACCAAAATCAGTTATTGTGTTTACTGTCAACAAATCCTCAGTAACAGCCCGGAGTCAAGAAGTTGTGCCGCTGAAAGTCGCGGTCGCGTTGGAATACCGTCCCATCGGACTATGAGAGTGAGGGAATAGAGAGTGTACTCGTGCTTGCGCGTAACTCGTGTACTATAATCCTATCTCGCGCAGATGGCTAATCTATGTTGAGATTGGCCGCCATGACAAATCCCCCCCCCCCTCCCCCCATGAGACAATCTAAGGGGCAATGGTTAGCAGTGGACTTTGATAGATTATAACGATAACGTTACATAACAAAGACAAAGAAATATTTTTTCATACAGCCTAGCATAAGTTACCTCGGCAACTATGGTGTCGTTAGATGCGTAGAGCCAATGATCACAGGCGCGCAGCTCTTCTGTAAATGCACCATCTTGGCACGGAAGATGGTTGTCTAAGGGCGCGCGGCTGTAGCACCGTTTCTCCTGTTCCCCAGTGGGCAGAGCGCTTGCCAGCCATGAGGGATTGTAGTCCGTGCTGTTAGCAGCCTCGCACTCCGGCACCACGCATCTGTAACACGATTTTCTTTGTCAGTCATACGTATAAAACAGCGAAGTAACAACACAGTATCTATACGTAGAGCCTCTTTGCAGCTATATTACCTGTAGAGTTGTAGCACGAATGAATCGGCTCGACCGGGATAGAACCACGCTCTCACATAATACCAGAGAAAAATAGCTGTGGCAGCGCTGTCGTCGCGCCACAAGCGAAAACACATCGAAGGCTAAATCGCGCTAACAAAGTTCCGAAATTAAAACAGTATATACAGAATAGCTCCGAACTACCACTTGGAGCGTTGGCCGCTACCCGGGCAGAACACCTTGCCCGGCGGGAGATCTCCCCTTTTCTTTCCACCAGCTACAGTGGTGACCCCGACGTGATATGAACATGCAACCAATAACCTTCGGAAACTACAACTTCAAAACCTTCGTCATCATCCTCAAGTACCCCATTCATTCGCTCGCGAGCAGATATTGTCTGCAGTCTTCACATTCTGCAAAGCTATCTAGCTTTATATAGGTTCATCGCAGCACTGGAATAATAATGCTTACAGTGTTCGGCACGGCTCTGAGCCTTACTGCTCGCCTCTGCTTCACGGCACTCTCGCAGATTACTTTCCTTCTTCTCGACTCACCGCAGACTTACAAGGCAATTCCCTGGCACTTTCGTCGTACAAATTCGTCGACATCTAGACTGCACTATGGACCTCCGGTCTGAGCAGGGGGGTGATGTGGCGGCGCTGTCATCGCGCCACAAGCAAAAACACATTGAAGCCTAAATCGCGCTAACAAAGTTCCGAAATTAAAACAGTATATATAGAATAGCTCCGAACTACCACTTGAAGCGTTGGCCGCTCCCTGGGCAGAATACCTTGCCCGGCGGGAGATCACCCCTTTTCCTTCCACCGGCTACATAGCAATTTAATGTTTCTGTGTTATGTATAGTTAGTCGAAAGTTGTGACGTGGAAACAGTGTGCGCCATTGGTGATTTTAATGCTCATCCTGGTGAGTGTTTTGGACTTGGATTTTTAAAATTTTATTCTGAACAAAATTGGATTTGTGCGGACATTGGAAAGTTAGGCCATAGATTCTGATAACTATACATTCATCAGTGATGCACTTGCACAGCACAGCTGCTTGGCTTACTATAACTAACATAAAAATATTTTATAATGTATTCTGGTCTGATCATTGCCCCTTTGTTGCAGCTTAGTTTTGTTGCACTATTCACCGAAATTAGAAGTTGCGATAAAATCATGTAACAAAGTAATATGGGGCGAAAGGGCCAGTGATCAGATTGAAGTGTATTATGTTATGTGAAACTTAGCGTATGTTTTAATTGACATTGTACTAACAATACTCATCATACGTTAATGCTTGATGAAATGTACAATAATAGTGTTACTATTTTATCTGAAGCCTCTATACAGAGTAATGCTGACCACAGATGTTATACGCATGGTGGTCGTATTGTAGGGTGAAACAGATATATGAGGGAATAATGTGATGGCTAGGTTTAAATATCGCTAATAAATAATTATTAATAAAACATTTGGTTTGTTATGCCACATCCATATGTTGTAGCATAACAAACCAAATTGTGGTCCTATATATGACGATATGTGCCTAAAACGTAAAATATTTAAGAGCAAACTAAAATGGTGTCAGAACCATCAAGTGCAAATTCAACTCGATATCATAGCATCACACCGTAAGGCAAATAATTTCAAAAATTCTGGAAAGCCACAAACAATCTTGATATTAAGGCTACCCTGATTGTGTGCGTTGGAGGTATAAACGAACCTATTAGCATAGGTAATATGTTTGCAGACCATTTTAAAATAGATTCGTTGCTGGGTCCACCGCAGCCGGTGTCCGGAGATGAGAGCTATCATGGTAGTCTTGACTTCATTCGTTTTCTACCTGAACAAGTGACAACTGTCATTAAAATATGACTGGAGGAAAATCTCCCGGCTATGATTCTCTCAGCATCAATTACCTGCAGCATACCGGACCTCACTACCCGCTACGTTCTTCTCTTCATGTCTCTGTCATTCGTATCTGACTCAAATCTGTATGCGGACAATATTTGTGCCTATAATTAAAAATAAAATAGGTGACATAGCAGACCTATATTTTTGGCAATAATTATGGCTAAAATACTTGACACCCTGTTGTTTACACAGCTGGAAAGTTATTTTGAGTTGCACGATGCACAGTTTGGGTTTCGGTCTGAATTGTCTACTGAGAATGCTAACTTAGTCCTAAAGCACACTGTTAAATATTACACAAAGCGCCGTACACCCGTATATGCATGTTTTTTGGATTTCTCCAGAGCATCATAAATTATGACTTATTTTGGGATAAGCTACGTCAGAAAAAGCTTTCAGCAGAGCTTTAGAAGATATTTCAGTACTGGTACAATAATCAGTATAATAATGTGAGATGGGCTGATAAGTTCTATGAAAGGTACAGGTTACAATGTGGGGTCAATAAGTTACGCAGATGATATGGTGTTGCTGAGTCCCATGGTTAAGGTCACCAGAAAACTTCTTAAGATATGTGAGAAGTATACGTTAACCATGGCTTGAGATACAATAGTAATAAAAGCGAATTAGTGGTGTTTAGGGCCGTTGGCTGTAGAAGCCTAGAAAATGTGGCTGCAATTAAATTGAATGGCATTGAATTAAAACGTGTTAATAAATTTAATTAGCTAGGGCATTTTGTTACCGATGAACTAAACGACAATGTTGACATTGAAAGGGGACGTACGACACTGGCAGTCTGATGTAATATGTTGGCACGTAGGTTTGTGCGGTGATGTGAACAAGTAAATTTAACATTATTTAAAGCCTACTGTCAAGTTTTCTACACATGCAGCCTGTGGTCGAATTGTTCACAGCGGTGTGTCGGCGCATTACGTGTCCAGTACAATAATGGCTTTAGAATCTTGTTGGGGCTACCCTGATTTTGCAGTGCATCAGACATGTTTGCAAAGGCGCATACAGGTGACTAATACGCCATTATAAGGAAGAAGACAGCCTCGTTGCTTGGCATGGTGCGGGCTAGTTCCAACTCCATCATGAAAAGAATTGCTGAAAGATACGGATCATTTCTTCTTAAGCAATATTACCGCCTCTGTTTAGTTAATAAGGCACTTGTATTTAAGAATTAGATTTAGGTACTAACATAGGTTCAACCCCGAATGGGTTCCCTCTTTATCGTGGCGGGGGGCTTAGTAGCCGTGGCTTGGTCATCTGCGGTGAACAAAGAGGAAACCTTCGACTGGCCCGTGGTGTAGGGTCGGCCCGAGGTGGCCACCCCGAGGGGGCTTGGCGAGCCCACTTCGGATTTGTGTCAGTGCAGCCGAGGTGGAGTCACGGAGGAAGAGGGGTGTTGGTATGGCGATGCGCCACTCGCCCTACCCTCCGCGACTCTGACGGGGCCGCACTGTTAATTGATGCGGTGGTGGTAGGGCTGCGGGGGGAGAGGAGTGATGGTATTGCGTGGCGCCGCTCAGTAAGGCTGGTGCCTCTGAGTGCTAGTATTTCCTGGCCCCATGGCCTTCGCGCATCGAACACGGCGGCGTCCGTTGCGCATGTAAAGTTGAAAACCGCGGAGGAGTGCGCGCGTTCTGGTGGGCCTACCTGAGAAGGAGTTGAGGGAGGAGTAGTCCTCTTCCGAGGAGGGGCCGCCATGGGCGACCAGCGCTGGTGGGGCTGCGGATGTGTGCGAAATCGTTCCCGTGGCACTGTCAATATGCGATGAAGGTGGAACACCATGGGGTTTTAGTCGGTGCGAGTCCGACATAACCCGTCCTTGCCCCCGCGAGACGGGTATGCGTAGGCATTTCCCCATGTAAAAAGGTACTAACATAGGTTATAAGTTTTATATTTATTAACAAATTTTATGGATCACTTGGTTATCTGAAATAAATTATTATTATTTAACCATTATCTCTTTCGCACGTTCTTGTCATAGGTGATACACTTTTCATCACCAGTGTTTCATTACGTTTCAATAATGAGTACACGATTCATTAGGTTTCTTTCAGTGATCTCGTGGGGTACCCAAATATAGATTTTTTCTATAGCCAGATTATTTCAAATGGGTCAAAACTGTTTTGTAGTCAACACTCCATTCCTCTGCTATGTCCTACTAATATACCGATCTAGCTCCAATTTTTCAAAAATGGCATCGACTTTATCCGAGATTTTTCTTCAATATTATACAAACAAAATACGAACAACTTTTTCCTCGACCTTTCAAAATAAAGAACGAATTACATTTTAATACATATTTTTTAAATTATAACTCGCACTTATTGAGATTTATTTATCATCATTACAGCCCTTTACAAATACAGAGCTGAACATAGGTCATCTCCAAGGAAAGCCACTAAGCACGGTACTGAACTACATGCATCCATCGACTTTCCACATATCTCAGCAGGCCTTCATCACTCACTCCATCTAGTGATTTTCGGTTATACGCAACGTTTATTTTCGTTTTTCTACACTGTGTATGCAACATTTTAGAGTTTACAACTTGTTGGTGTATATTATAATCATTGTTATAATTTTTTCAAATAACTTATTTGATAATCAATTTAATAATTACTTAAGTATATGATTTGTAAAGATTTGTATTGGTTGGTATTATGAGTATGTTGTTAGTCTAAAAGGAATCAAATGACTTCAATTTCAAGCTGTTATCTCAAATCTGCGTATTGTTTTCTAGCTATGAATAAAGTTTGTTTATTTTTCATATTCTTCTTTATCAACATCATCAGCCGTTTTCAGTTCAACGATATATGAAAAATAAGAGGGTAATTATATTACAATTACAAAAACAATTACATATCTGTGATTGTGGTAACCCCTAGTTACTTGAAATTACGCATTATCTGCGGATCATAAGATGGCGTCTAATTTGAAACATCCGGTGGTTTTTCTAATGCAAAGTTTGCAAAAAACATAAAGCACTAAGTATTTGCACAACTATTTTAA